AGTGATAAAACTAATTGTCTACCCAACCGTGTGAGCATTACTGGAATACAATTCTAGATATATGAATTGAAGACTAAATATTGTTAAAGATGATTTGAAAGTCTTTCCAAAGTGAATGTTTTGTTATTTTTTTCTGTAAGACATTAAATTTAAAAGTTCTGAGGATAATCTCATGGAGTGAAAACTAAAAGGTTTAGGTCTTACATTGTCATTAGTATCTATTGTCTATTTATAACGTTAGACTAACAGCATGATCATTTTGACTTTTGTAAAAGGACTCATAATCTGAAAAGATAAGATATGGTAAAGGACATAAAGGATCTGAAAGTTCAGTTCTAGAATTTTGTATTTTAATTGCTTTTGCCTGTACTAGACAAAGATTTGGTGTTCCAGAAGTTTAAAGCAAAAAAAACCTCTCAACTATATTATAGCATTATATTAAATAAGAAAAAAAAACAAAAAGCACTAACCTCAAGAATAGTAAAACGTGCTCAGTGTAATGTGGTAGAGTGTATTTACAATTTTAGTATTGTTAAGATTATCAAGAATAGTAAAACGTGCTCAGTGTAATGTGGTAGAGTGTATTTACTATTTTAGTATTGTTAAGATTATCAAGAATAGTAAAACGTGCTCAGTGTAATGTGGTAGAGTGTATTTACTATTTTAGTATTGTTAAGATTATCAAGAATAGTAAAACGTGCTCAGTGTAATGTGGTAGAGTGTATTTACTATTTAAGTATTGTTAAGATTATCAAGAATAGTAAAACATGCTCAGTGTAATGTGGTAGAGTGTATTTACTATTTAAATATTGTTAAGATTATCAAGAATAGTAAAACGTGCTCAGTGTAATGTGGTAGAGTGTATTTACTATTTTAGTATTGTTAAGATTATCAAGAATAGTAAAACATGCTCAGTGTAATGTGGTAGAGTGTATTTACTATTTAAATATTGTTAAGATTATCAAGAATAGTAAAACGTGCTCAGTGTAATGTGGTAGTGTATTTACTATTTAAGTATTGTTAAGATTATCAAGAATAGTAAAACTTGCTCAGTGT